TGCTGCGCCTTCCCCCAGGCCTCCGTGTTTGGTTGGCGGTTACTTATTGCTTGTCGTCCTATCGTGGGACGTAGGATCGTAACACTATCTCCCTCCTCTTTTGGGTTTGTCCTCAAACCTCGTGACCTGGAATCGGGTTTACATATAATCCGGTTGCTGCCCCCGCGTCTGGTGATCCGTAAGTCAAAATGTCTTCCCATGCCCGTAACCTTCGCATTGCCTCAGAGATCCGTCGCGCTGACTGTTTAGCCGACGTCCCTTGCAACCGCTGCTTCTTTGAAGATCACAAGTGTTATATCATGCCTGATGAGTCTCGCCGTTTGAAGTGTGCTGAGTGCACCCGAGCTGGCAAACCATGTGTTAACATGTCTTGGGCGTCTCTCGATCGGACAAGGGAGGAGTATGAAAAGAAAGTTCAGGAGGATGAGGCTTTGTTGGCAACAGTTATCTCAAGGCTGCTGAGAAATAAGAAAATCCTGAAACAGGCGAATGAGTGTGCTAAGGCAAAAGCAATGTGCCTGGCGTCGGAGATGATTGAGTCTGGCGAATTGGATATGGCTGAAGATATCGTCGATTGTCCCGTGAGGACAATTGGTATGAGTCTGTCTCCCACTGTGTGGACTACTCTTGGGTATATCGAGGATGCCGTTGAGAGGCATAGTACTCCGCTAGTCGTTCCTGGCAGTTCTTGAGGTGCGTCTTTGGTTCCCATGTGTTTTCTGAGTCTGGGTATCCTGACCATTTGACTAGGTACTCGTCGCCCCTTGTTGTTCGTCGGTGTCGCACAATCTGTTCGACTTCCCATTCGGTTTCTCCATCGGTTTGGTAGTGAAAGTCCTTCTGGACTGGGGTCCTAGGGTCGGCTGGTTCCAATAACGATACATGGAACACTGGGTGGATCTTTGCATCCTTTGGCAGATCGAGTCGGTAGTTGACAGGGCCTCGTTGCTCTGAAATGAAAAACGGTCCGACCTTGACATGGTCCAGTTTCTTCGTAGGTCTTCGTGTGCGTAAGTTTTTTGTGAGGAGATATACTTTATCCCCCTTCTTTAGCTGAGGTGCCGTTTTTCTTTTCTGGTTGACATATGAGATTGCTTGTGTCTGAGCCTTGGTGATGTTCTCAAGCAATTTCTGGTGTACTTCCTTCAGTGCCTCGACTGAGGATATCGCTGATTCCGTTTGGATATTACTGTCAAGAGATCTGGTAAAGAGATTTGGATGTCGTCCGTGATTTGCGAAGAACGGCGTCGTGCCTGTTGCTTCCGATAGCTTGTTGTTGTATGCAATCTGTGCCATAGGTAACAGTGAAACCCAGTTGTCTTGCTGCTGGTTACTGTATATCCGTAGGTATGTTTCCATAGTCTGATTTGTTCTTTCAGTCTGTCCGTCCGTCTGTGGATGATAGGCGGTAGAAAGTTTCTTCTTGGTACCAATAGCTGCGAGTAGCGTGGTCCAATAGTTTGACGTGAAGAGCTTATCTCTGTCGCTGATGATTGATTCCGGTATGCCGTGATATCGAATTACTTTGTCCAGGAACACGCGTGCGAGCTGCTCTGCCGTGTAGCTGTGTCGAAACAGTATCATCTCGGCGGCTTTTGTAAATCTGTCCACTACGACAAAAATCGAGTCGTAGGCGTATCCTGTGACAGGGTCCTTGGAGATTGGTAGCTGTGTGACGAAGTCCATCGTGATGTTCGTCCATGGTGCCGTAGGCGGTTCCATTGCTTGCATTTCTCCATACTTGGTGTGCGTGCTGTGTTTGTTCTGTTGACAATCAACACAGTTCTTAACATACTTGGTGACCTTGTCTTTCATGTTCTTGAACTCATAGTGTCGTCTGATGAGTTCCATCGTCCGCATGATTCCAGGGTGTCCGTGGAGTGGGTCATCGTGATGACTCGCTATAACTTCCTCTTGAAGTTCTTCTGGTATGTGCGACGGTATGCGCTGTTCGTTCTGAACTTGCATCGTGTTGTTGAGCTGCTGTGATGGTCCTAAAGACCCATCCTTATTGATTCCAAGAATGGCTGATTCGTTAATCGTCTTTGATCCTGCAAGATCATGTCGTCTACTGAGTGCGTCGGCTCTACCGTTGTCCTTTCCTGGTGTGTAGAGGATCTTGAACTTGTACTGTCCGAGCGTCTCAGACCATCGAACTTGTCGTCGGTTCAATACCTTGGTTGTTGTAAAGTGTACCAGGTTCTTGTGGTCGGTGTATATCGTGAGCTCCGAACAGCTTTCAGCGTATACTCTCCAATGTTCCAGGGCAGATACAATTGCAAGAAGCTCCTTGTCATGTACATCGTATCTTTCTTCTGGTCCTGAGAACTTGCGTGAGTAGTAGGCAATAGGGTGCCATTGTCCATCTCGTTCTTGTGTAATGCATGCTCCTAGCGCCAAATCTGAGGCATCTGTCTCCATTCTAAGAGGCTCATTGCTCCTGAATGTAACCAACGTGGGTGGTTCGATGCATGCTGTCTTGAGTGACTCAAACGCATCATCCTGCTCTTGTTCCCACTTGAATGGTGTGTCCTTCCGCGTAAGCTTTGTGAGCGGCAAGGCCTTGAGTGAGTAATCCTTGATGAAGCGTCGGTTGAAGTTGACAAACCCAAGGAACTCCTGTA